TTAATGCCGCAAGCCAAGAGCTTCGTCCAGCCGCCCCACGGCAGCCCTGCCCCGTTACCTGCGGTCCCGCCGCTACCCAGCGCGCGCCGCCGCCCCTCTGCCCCGAGCAGTTCGGTCCGTGCCTGAAAACCCTTGCCGCTGGTACACAAAACAGTGATTTTTCAAAAGGCTCGCATAGCCTTGCCATGGCCATTATTTAAAAATTTGCCAGTTACCGCTTTCCGTACAAACAACACGATTACTTCCAGTTGTTAGGAATTTCATAACTCAGTACCTTTTTTTAAACGGCATCTTTATTGATAAAGTAAATATCCAGAAAAATTCTTTTAGCAAGAAAAGAAATACGCCACTGTCGGCTTTTCTCTTTTTTGCGCCTTTTTTTTTTTTTTTTCCAGCTCACTGGCTGTCAACTGCAACCAAAATGTAAATCAAGTCTTAAATTGAGTCTTCTGTTAAATCTGAGCCAGTTTTGGCTGGCAGACATACGACAGACTTCAATATTAATCCTTTTTCCAAAATAGAGAAATAAGTGCTCAGAGTTCTAGATGTACCTCCTTCACTCTATTTCCAGAGTTGATTATATATGATTACTCCGTACCACGCAGTACCCCTAAAACACAGCATTCCTCCACATCTCCAAGACATGCAAATTATCTATACCTTTTTCTGAAAAAGCGTACAGTTAGTCCATGTGATCTGCCTATTCACCTACTTCTAGTTTGGCTTCTATTGTAACTTACGACCTACACAGAGTTTCTCTTGCGTGTTCTGACATTGTTGCTCTACAATGGAGCTGCCTCTCCCACCACACCAGCAGCCCTTTCCTCCACCACTACAGGCCTCTCAGCTACTGAAAAATAACCCATCACACAAGTATCAGAGAAAATAGTAAAAAATCCACACCTTAAAAGAAATTTCAGGTTTTCAGGATGTCCCATTTACACATAGAAAAGTCAGTATCCTGGTAGGCAAAATGAAATAAACACGACAGTAGCAACTTGTAAAAGCGTACATAAACTGAGCTATCAAGTTGATGTAGAAACCCCCTGAGCTGACAGTTAAGGACTTTCTTCGGTCTTTGTGACAAAAAAAAAAAAAATCACAAGAACAGATAAGGCATGGATTACGCCATCAGTTTATGCTAGCCGTCACAGTATTTACTGTGAGACAAACTTTTACAACGCAGTTAACAAGCACAACCACCTACAATCCATACAGCAGAAACTAGCTACTTTCACTTAATCTAAGAATGCGGCCTCACCAGTCCTTGGCTTTTCTATGTAGTTACCATTTGCATTATGGTTGACTGGGTATTTGTGAAATGCTACCCTCCATTTCAACTGTTATTCGCACCTTCCTTACAAGTCACTGTTGCCAGGGACTGCATCAGCCAGGCATATGTAACAGTCTTAGTGGTGATTACACTTTAGAGCTGGGCTTGCCCAGTTCTTCATGGAAATCTTTCTTCTAGAGGTTTCTGATTCACATTTAAGTATTTGAAGGTATCTTCTCATAAACTCAACCTTCATCCCAGACAATGCTGCAGGAAGCAGGAACTGTATCTCAGATGTAAAAGCATCTCTCATTGAATATGATTAGATACACGGCACAGCAGACTACCCGTTCCCTTCACCTGGGGAGCACCAGTAGCCGTGTCAGGGGCAGTCAGTGTCAAACCTTCTGCTTAGTATTTATTGATGCCAAAGATTCGAACGCCATGCAACTGTGGCAGCTTGGGGATAAGCACAGTCAGGAGAGAGGTTGTGTTGAGAATGAAGTGTGTTGGATCATACTTTGTGTAGAAACTCGCCAGGAAGTACCTGCAGGAGAAAAGGGAGAAAGCTTAGCTGGCAACACCCTTGTCTAAAAAATAAAAAAGCAAAGCATAAATTGAAAAAAGTGCATTAGTAACCAGTCATATTTTACTGATTAACAACTGATCTATTCCTGTATTAAATATCTCACCTGAGGTTCTAGAATATCTACAGCAAAACTGTATGGCCTAAGTCTCTTCTTCCCATACTTCTCAAGGTGCTAAAAAGCAACTCTTGGCTACTATCTTCCTCCAGCATTTCTCCCCACCTCTCAAGTTGGAGTCTCTGACTTCTGCAGCTACAAGCCTGATTTGTGACACAGGTTTTAAATGGTGTAAGATCTGTTACCAAAATACTCAACAGTTCTGCTACCCTAGCAAGCTCAGTGACAAAGCATTTGACATTTTTCAGTGCAAAAATCAACTATGCTGAGCACATCTGTGACTGGCATGATTTTAAAATGCTTCCCGTCTGGCAGACATTCCCAGCACATTTTTCTTTTAAGTTAGTCCACAACCTGTTCAACTGGAAGAATAAGGAAATGTGCCTCAGAAAATCCAATTCACTACCAACTTCTTTATGCTTTGAGCCAGTAATTTCATTTCGTTCTTTGCAAAAACCAGTCACAGAAATGAGGCTATCAGATTGTTGGTTTTGTTTTTTTCCCAGCAAAATGGAGGTGTTTATTCAGCTACTGATGCGTCATTAGTGCATGAAGAGAACCATACGCAAGTGTTAGGAATACAAAATTCCCACTGGAAAGTGGGAAGCTATCTTGGAAGAAAAAGAGGATTTTTTTTAGGAGTTCTATATATTTTTTTCAGTTTCTATCCTTTGTGAACCAAATTTCTAAACATGATGCAGGATCTTCCCTCCCTCTGCCTCCCACCATGCACGTGGACAACTTCCTTAAAGGAAAAAAAGAAAGACTTTTTAGAGTTGGAGATTAAATCCGCATCTGATTTCTTTTAGTTACACAACCATACATTTGTCAACAGAGACAGGCGGGGTAGAATTTCTCAAGTATTTACACAACTAGTGTAACAGAAGACAATCTGTACAAAGCAAAACTGACGTGCAAAATCCTGGATCCCATTCAGTGAGGACTGCCACATTCCCCGTAACTCACAAGTTGCAAAACAGTTAATAAATGCTGTCATGTGCATGCGCTAAAGGCAATTAGTTTAGGTTTTCAATATTTATGACTTCACAATCTCTTAAAGAACTTCAAGAGTTAACAGCAAGTTTTCCTCATAACGTTTCTAATCTTTAAAACCTGCCCCCTTAATAACTGTTTACAAACTTCAACTTCAGTAAGTCAATCAGTGTTGAAAGCTGCAGTAAGAAAGATTGTTGATTATATGGCCTGTAAATATGTACTCCCTACCTCTGTGATGTAGAAACAAACAAGCAAGCAAAAAAGGAAAGAAAATGCTTTTAGAAGGTAAATTGCAACTCATTTGGTTGCAGCTTTTGAAATCATGGTTTTATGATTCAATTAACTCATAATATGGTTTTGAACTCACAGAATTATAGGAGAGATTGTGAAGAATTTTCTTGAAGATGTAAATTGTACTCCATAATCCAGTTGTTCCCAGTGTGTTAGTAGCCTAGCTTTCCCCTGATCAGGTGTTTCAAAAGGAGTTCCCTTTACTGCATGCAAAAACACATACATTCCCTGGGGAAAACAAAAAGTGAATACAGTGGCATTTTTAGCTGTATTTTTTTATGACTGTTACATTGTTCAATGCATTGTGAAAAAATAGAGAGTAAATGCATTCTCACCCAGAAGAGCTGCTAGCCTGTAATGACAAATTATAAAAGAGGAAGGAAGAGACAAGAAGTGATTTGCCCGAGGTTGTGCAGCCAGTGGCACAGTCAGAATTAAAGCCACAGTCTATGTGACATCCCATCCACTGCCTTGTCTTGTATGTTAGATGGCAAAAATTGCATGAAATCAACAGAATTTTAACAAGCACTGTAACGAGTTTAGGGCTGCCAATTTATGTTACTGCTTTCCTAAGACAGTGTTAAATGAGGTACAAGGTAGACTCTGCACAAAGCAAAAAACGTATCTACGAATACTGGCAATATGACAAGAACTTTCAAAAGCTTTCTCAGCCCCCCAGTAGCTTCAAATACTTAGAAGCTGACTACCAGCAATCTGTTGAATACCATCTGTCCATCTCTTCACTGCTTCTCCTTAACCACACCGGCCTGTTCTTTGCTGTTTTTTTCTATTCGATGGGAGCATGCCATGTCTGGTCTGTTCTAAAAGATCAATTTGGGCCCAAAGATCAATCAGACAGGGGAGCCCACCCTCTTCCAGTTTTAACAAACATACTTTTTCTATCAAAGAGCAAGAGTATCTATCAGAAAATACCAAAGACTTCCATTTTCTTTCTTTCAGGTGTGTTCATTTCTTAGGCACATACAGAAATTTTTATAGAAAGCTTTATATAGAAAACCCACGTTTCTTCTGAATTCTTATGAAGGAGGTGAAAGTTGAGCAACTCCCTTCACATGTACTTCCACTTTTTTTTGGAACAGCCCCCTGACTGGAAGCCTATTAACCTAAGAGAATTAATTTGCTTAATTAATTTTTCAATTCATTATGTTTGCAGCATCTCAGTTTTAACAATTTAACCAAAAAGGCACTTTTAGGACAGATCCAGATGTGCTTACTACACATTTTATATCACACTGGTACTTGCAGAAAGGACGGCCAAAAATGCTTTCAAGGTCAGCTAAGATTTTTCCATTAGTGGAAATCCAAGATTTTTTTGTTTGTCAACAATTCAAGGATTTGTTTCCAAAAAAGTGCCATTTAAATGCTGAAATATCCAAAAGTGCAGTTTATACTCATCTTCTAGTGTTCTGCTAGAAAACTACTTGCCAGTGCATTCTCTGTGTTGCCATTATAGCTACTCGCAATGAATTCGGTACAGCATTTCAGAAATATTTAGTAATACTTGTCTCTGCCAACATCTTCTGAAGTCAGGCATGTCTGAGCCTGTCAAAGATAACGTACAAAATGCTATAATGATGCTTACAATCCCACTATTACTTTTAAATCTAGCTACAAAACCAAAAAGCTCAAATTAAAAACAAAAAAAATCTTTTTTTGTAGGATCCTAGAGGATATTATCCAACCTCAGTCTTTGAAGTGAACTATCATTTTCCTAAATAAGGAAGAAGCTGTCTTTTTGTCAAGACTTCTTTGCTGTTAATCTTGGAAAGCTGAGTTAGCAAACCTCAAGTATGATGTAAATTGCTGGATTATGGCCCTCTTTGCTCTAAGCTTGGCAGGACCAATATACATACTTGCATTACTTTAAATGATTACAACAAAATTATACCATCTTGGGGAGAGGAGGCAGAAAGATTCTTAAGGTCTTCAGCTTCCAAATCCTTTTGCATAAAAAAGTCATCATGCAAATCACAACCCACTGAATAACAAATGGTTTCAGGGCCTGGGTCAAGGCAGTCCAGTTTTTCCCATTGCTTTCAAATAAGATTTTTCTAATGTCATACATAGTGACAAAATTGTATGCTGAAGGCATTCTGAGCTAAAATTTATCTAGCTTGACCAGAAATCAAAGCAAGAAGAACACAAATGTTTCTGTCCAAGGAAACAGATAAAGTGCTGAAATTAAACATTTTGGGATACTAACAGATTTATGTAGAAACAGCAGTAGATGATATCCAAGCATTAAAAATGTAATATATTTTATGGACTCAGCACAGCTCTCTAATAATACACAAAACACTGTAAAAGTCCTTTGGCATGATGATTTTATGTTTGCAAGATTCTAGCTTAATTAAATGCCTTTTAAAGAATACGTAAAATATGTAAGGAATATTTCACATCTTTTGTGTTTAAACCCAAAGTGATCATGTATCACTTCTCCTCCCAAAACCAGCCAACTCATTTCATAGTGGATAAGCCAAGTAGAGGTGGTGTTTTGGCTAGCTGGATTTCATTATCCACACAGCCTGGCTGTTCTTCTCTTCTCTTGCTACTAAAAATAAATACATATGAACAACTTTTCAAATTTCATTATGCGAGAGAGTACTTACCAGGTTGTGAATCACATTTGTTAAAGTCCAGGCGACAGGGACGCTAAAGAAAGGAATGCTGAGCAAGACAATGTGCAGCATGCCAACTCCGAGCGCGTACGTCAGCCACATTCCACGACTGTTCATCACCCGCGTGTTTGGATTTACCTCGCTGTGGGCAACTCCTACGTTCATTTTTACCCTATAAAACAGAACTGTTTGAAGATTGAGACTACTGTTATAGAGAAGTACTTAACGTATGCAATTTTCGAAGTTGGGAAAAGGCCGTTTTAAATAAGCAAGTCTGAAAGGAACACAGTGCATAAGCAAAGATGTACCTCAAGATCTTCAAAGTATGGTTCATGGAGAAGCCAGTACTAAAGGGCTGTTGGGAACTGGTTTTTTGAAAAAGCCTGAACAAATAAAACCCACAAGCCTGCTACAGAAGGGACATTTTAAAAAAAGTAGTAAGGTGTGCTGTTAGAAGCTGAAGTTGCAAACCTGTAAGAAACCAAGCTTTGTAACTTTTGTTACTTTTGAAATTGCTTTCTCCATCCACGACAATATCCGCAGCTCTTTTCCACTTCCCGTATCAGACAATTTTCCTCCTGTTTCTTCTTCATGTAATGGCTAATGGAAGAATTCTGCATATACCAATTGCCCAGCCACCTACTGCCAGAAAGAACGAATAAGGACTAATTTATGCCTGCTTTTCTTGCAGCAGAGTACAGTTTTCAGATTTTCCTCCTCTCCCTACCTGTTAGTTTTCAGACAGGCATTTGTGTCTTTCACATCTGGCTGAAATTAGCCAACGGGTTCAAAAGTTTTCTAAGTGACAGACATACGCAAAGATACACAGAACAATTTCAGAGTGCCGATTTCTTCAGGAGATTGACAGAACATAGTGGAGGTGACACTCTTGTCCTGTGGTACTAAAATTTGTAATGATAATTAAAAATCCTCGTCGCAGACTTCATGCTCACGTGATCTGTAAGACTATTTATATTCATTTATGGGACTGGGACGGGGACTTTTTAACTTTCTTCTAAATCAGTCTACAAAAGCGTCGTTTAACCAGCAAAAACAGTTAGCTTTTGGTAGGAAGCTTGTTTTTTATACTTGCTTAGTGCTGTAAAACACCCTTAATGCCCAAGTATTTTGCGCTATTAACTGTAGGCCGCAGAATAAAAACTAGATGCGATGAACCCGAAACTGAACCGGGGCAACGCTGATTTTAATCAATACTTTTGTGGCAAAGTATTTCCAAACGTGCGTATGCAGGGAACGCGTTCCCTGAGATGGGTGAAGCGAGACCGCTCCTCCCTCCCTGGCACCGCAGGTGAAGGAGTACCCAGACACACCTCCTGACACAGGCTGCCATCTCTTCCTATCTTTTCCTCACGCTTCTTATCTAATCAGATGGACACCTCCTCTCAGTTAGCTGTACCCTGTCTTGTCTCCCTCATCGCCAGGAGCCCAGCCGCACGAAAGAAGCGGGACGCTGTGCCCGCAGACCCCCCGCAGCTCGCCCCCGCAGGAGCCGGGGCCTCGCCGGAGACCCGCTTCGCTTCGCTTCCCTTCCCGGCCACGCACCCTGCGGGCTCCCCGGCACACC